GTTAACTGCCAATTTGTGAATGGTTGTCTGCCTCTCTGTGTTATCAGTGTGACGGCCTGACAGCTTGTCCACGGTGTACCACACCTCTGACAGCTGGGATGGGCTCCAGCCCGCCCATGACCTTGAATTAGCTAAGCTGTCCAGAAAATGGATAGATGACTTGGTAGATATTGTTTATGATCAGTCAGTAGAGTCATAAAGTTTGGTTCCAATTTTGCACGTTATTTACTCTTATAGGCAGTTTTCCCTTTTAAGACTTTTAATAATCACAAAATGTTACTAATTTTACTAATTACAAATGTATTTTTTATTTAAGATGCAATTTTAAAAGAAAAATTTTATGCAGTAATGATACACATACACACTCTACTGTAAAAATATTACACTGATTTTGTTTCATCTGTATATTTATTCGCAGTGAAATCAGACTGCATAAAACCATTTAATCGAACATTCACATTATGTGAATGTGAATGTGAATATAAACAATAGATTACAATCTAATTTCAATGTTGGCATCAACAATGAAATTAATTTCATTGTTGATGCCAACATTGATGCCAACATGCGTTTGCAAATAACAAAAAAGAAGTTGCAAGTTGCACTTAGTCAAAATTAGTGCTATCCATCAGTTATCAGACAAACTATTTGTTTCCAGAATGAAAAACAGACCGAGACCTGAAAGGATCAGAACTGGTTAATATGGAGGAGTTGAAGTCCATTTAGAGGATCAAATAGCTGGTCATTGAGGTCGCTCTTGAAATTAGTTTGAAATTCATCTGAAACTTCATTGTTTTGTTGTGTTGTTATTTTTGTATGATTTGAACCTGTTAACTCATAATTGTACTGCAACTGTTTGAGATTTGTGTTTGTGCGCTGGCTTATTTTTAAATTTTTACAATCTCTGCTACCATTTTGGCCTCATAACTCTTGAAAGTGATTTTCAATCTCCCTGAGCTTGTAGCTTGATGAATAAAAAAATAAACATACTGCATGACATAAACCATACAGAGGGGTTGTGATTGTGAGGCCTTCTACAGACACACTGCTGCTGGTTTGATATGAGAAAGAAAGTCACTTCTGGCATGAGAATTCCAGAATAATCCTATTCTTACACCAACACAAGATTTTGCATATTCTAAATGATTAAAACTCAGCTAAACAGGTAAAACAATATAAGGTCATAATATTCTTGGGGTTATTTTTTAGCTTCTTTATAGCTTTGCAAAATCTTATAAGCAGTTTATATGCGTGTAAAAATAGCTAAAAGCACACATTAGCTAACATAAATCAAGTAGGATGTCTAACAGCGTCTAAGAAAAGAAACATTAAAAACACTTCTTGATGTTGAGGCCCAACAGAGGGTCATCTTAGGCCCAATGGGCTATCAGAGTTGCAATACACTGGTGGAAACCATGCTCTGTTCAAATATGAATGCTAAGCAGCATTTTTTTTTAAGAAAATAAAATGTTTAATAGAATTACCAATTTCTATTGTAAATGGACAAGCATTTAGCTCTGTGATTACAGTCAACTGAAGCCGTTAACTTCAAACATCAATTCCCAGTCAGCAAAGCCTTTTGCAATGTGCACATAGAGAGGAGATAGAAATTACTGTCAAACATAAAGGTTTGCACCATGATAAATAATGTTTGGTGTTCTTCTGCACATTCTCAGGTCAGATGTTACACACAGATTTCAGGTTCATATGGTGGAATAGTTTGTAAAAATGTGGCTCTCCTCTGGATCAAACCTTCACACCACCTGTCTCAGTCCTCAGGACCTTCAAGCAGACGAGTTCACCTTTATAGAAAACCATACTAATTCTTCTTTAACCCCGTCTTACTTATTTTGAATGCCACACTGTTTTCAAAGGGAAACACCTGTGAAAACTGCATTCACACTGTTTTACTTTTGTTAATGTTGCCTTGCAACTTTCAGTCACAAAACTCATAATGCGCCTCTTGGTTAAAACGTGACAGCAGCTTTTTGTTGCTAACAGTTTTACGTCACTGCAGACTATTACTAAATAGCTGACTTCACCTCTGTTGGCACCACTGTCACACTTCCATGTCTTTCTGGGACATTTAAAACGACTCTCACGGTTATTTGTAAAATTGATGAAAATGTGAGATTATAGTTTTAAATAACTATAAAACGATCGCTCTGCTGTGGCTCTGCTTCCGACGTTGTGCCAAATAGTTATTTTTCTATGTGTGTTTTTATATGTACCCTAATATTTTTGGTTATAATATAAATGGGCTGTAGTCAACAGAATTTATGAAGGGGAAATGATGTGTTTTGCAAGTTTATCACTCTGGCTTATTGTTTCTGCTCTGTGTTCTACATTATAACTAATCCAGTCCGTTCTGGCTTCTTCAAGTATCTTTATGGAACTGTGATGTTATATTTACGGTATTACAAATTTTACTCCCCTATTAGCCAGATCTTTCTTTAAAAAGATTTTTTTAATATCAGTGAGACTTCTCACCTGCTGTAAATAAATAATATGTAAAAGTCCCTTTCGCCAAAAACTGACCACAGCTTCTATATTGTGACAGGAATATCCTTTCTGCTTCAGAATGACTCTGTATCACTCATGAGAGATATATTTGAGATACTTTTTGACAGATTATTGGCCAACAAATCATCTACAACAGCTTTAATACTGGAAAACCACCAGCAGGGCTACTGCTCTGTCCTTACCTGTCTATCTCTGAGACTTAAACCATTTCTGATTATATTGTGTTTTGGTGGTGAATACAGTCTTGCCAACCAAATTTGGTCTTCATCAAATTACCACAAATTTATTGTCATATAAACCTTGAGGCTTTAATCCCTTTCGGAGCAGTTACTTGCTGTGTCTGCCTACTGGTTCAGCTTTCTTAGACATATGAAAACCCATCAGAGGGGAAAGCTTTGCTTCCCTTCACTCAGTAGATATTAGCACTGGAACACAAAAATCAATACACATGAACATTATCAATACCGATGATAAGTAGTATTTACATAAACATTTTTACAATACATAAAATAGTTCAGTGTATACTACACCACCATACAAACATGTTTTATAGCTTCTCTGTGCTCATTTGTAACACGTACATTATTAATATACATTTAAAAACAAACACACTGGATTCCAACAGCGTTAAAATAAGTTTCACCGACGGGTTTCTCTAAACACTTTGTTTTGTTCACTGAGAAATGTCGTGTCAAGAAGCCACAAGCTCCACTATGTGAATCACATAAGAAAACATGATAAATCCAGCTCTTATTATCGTTTTATGGAAACTTCATAGGCCGCAAATCCCAAGGTCTGCCTGATAAACACCACTAATAAGTCCAAGATCTGGCTTATTCTCCAACAGGTGTTTTCACTTTATTTTCCTATCATAAAATAAGTGGTCCACCTGGCAAGGAGCAAAGCGCCAAACAGCACAGTGTAACTGAAGAGAACAAATTTGAGGATTTCCTTGAATGTCCGGAGGAAGCGGATAAACAAGGGGTCCACATCCTGGGGCTCCTGCTGTGTCATTTGCCTCCGACCAAGCTGGGTTAGGTGTCCCATGTTTTGGCCTCGCCCCATTCTTCAAACAAACACATTTGTTAGATTTCAGTACAAAAGAAAAGAATTAGAATCAAGACAGGTGGCTGAAAGTTCATTAAACATATATGTACTGCAAGCAACACCGGCAGTATGAATGATTTAAATTTAACGTATGGAAATTTAGACAAAAACACCAGGATGCATCTTCATATTAACTTGTATTATAAGCACAAAGTTATTTATTCCTGGCAATGTAAAAGCCGAGGAAAGACTGGCGTTAATAATTTATCCCCCAAGTTGCACAAATGGGTTCAGTATCGATCTGCTTTGTTTGCGTACAGTTGCAAATAATATACTGAACATCATTCGCCTTTACTGCTTTTGGATATGAAAACAAGAACAATTCCTGCATGGTGAATCTGTTTTTTAAGGTCATTTTTTTCCACACTATTAAACAACAGCCACACCCATACAAGAACCACGTTAGTCACAATAAATTTTGCTTATAAAAATGTATACTTTTATTATGTCTCCTCGTTAAAATAAAGAAAGTTGAGTGTCTGTTATCTTCTTAAAATTTTTATCTTGCTATCAAAAACAGACAAACTGTGCATAAAGTGACAAATGTAAACATGCATGAATGCCAGATAAGTCCACATGAGGTAAAGGCATAATTTCTTTTTTTATAAAAAAGGAAACACTTACACCTTTGTGTTGATGGAGCAGGACAGGAGCTGATCAGAAGGGCTCCTGTGCTTCTAGCCCTGAAGTCCAAGTTGATGTGTGCCGTCTTGAGCGTTTCAAGCCCTTGTGGGAGAGGAGGAGCCAAAAGGAAAAACTGATCACAAGGATCTGAATCCCCTGGGATTTATTTAATGGCAATAAAAGTGTTGTTGCACCTGCTCCTCAAGGAAACAGCAGGCCAAAATTTACAGATTCAAGTATTCTCTGAATAATTTACCAAAGTAGTTTCCAAGACTTTTACACAAGCAGCATGAAGGAAAAACTACAAAGATTAGCCAAACAGAGGTCACCAAAATATCTGAGTGCTGTCAGCAGGTCTCCCTATATATATATAGCGTCAGGCACGGAGAAGGTATTGACTGATACAGAGATCAAACACCCTCCTGCCGCAGAGTTATCCTCTACCGGAACATGGAGCAAATGGCCTCCTAATTCAATCAGTGTCCTGTGCTGTCAAATCATGGGCTGCCGTGGGCTGAGCTCTCCAGACAGCACAGGGCCATTATCGGATGATCAGGAGGCCTGTTACTGCGCTAATTGCTCCTTCAGAGAACTGGAGCACTGCTGAGGAATACACTCTCATCCCTGCTTTTCATCCGCTTGCAATCAGCTTTCCTTACCAAAAAATTGCCCAATTTACAATAATCAAAATGGCGTATCACATGACCAAGTAATATGACACTAATTATAGTTTAAGACTTTATTTAGTCATTTTTAATCCAAGCAAAGGAAAACAAACAAAAGACAACTACAAAAGCTTTCAAAAATGCAAATCAAATGCATCATTACTCTTCTATGGCATCACAAATATGTTTTAATTCTATATACAGTATATATACAGTAGCAGAAAAGCAATAGCTGCAATGACAGAAACACAACCAAAGGACAAAGTTCATTAGACATCAATAAACCTTTAAATTGCACGATACGGGTGCAACTCAAAGGGAGGACAGTAAAGATTATGGAATGTATATAAAAGACAGATGTAGCCTCCGGCTGCCCTAAACCTGCTTTTTCTCTAATGTCCAGCAGGGGGAAGAGTCCTCTGCAAAAAAATTAAATAAAATAAAAATCACCAGATTGTCTCCATTGCTTGTTCAGCCTTTTTTTTTCTTTTAGAAAAGAAAAAATGTGTAATTTTGTAAATTCTAATTAAACTCTTGATTAGGGCAAAACAGATGATAAAGCAAGCTACGCTTCAGAGCTACGTTTTGCTGTACTATGAGCATTTCTCAGTCAGACCAACCCACGGTAAACACATCAAGAAACGAAAACGGCCGACACAAACATCCGACTTTGCAAACAGGACTTTGCAAAACAAAGGGTGGCATCACTCAGGCGATTAGAAAGTGGAAATGCCTAAGGCTGCAGTGCCATATTAGGTAACAGTTACTTTGACATAAAGATATTTTCACAGGGCAACTTTGAAAGAGCCGGTCTCTCTTTAAACCGGAAGAGACATCAATGAAACACCTGCAGGACAGTGATGTGGACATAAAAAAACAGTAGCTGAGCTTTTCTGGTAGATGGGCTTTTTGATGTGGCCAGGTGTACGTGCAGGTGACTCATTGTGTTGGGGATTCAGGGCGGTCCATGAGGGATTTGATCCAAGTTGTGCCATTTATGAGTTTTGTGGTGGCTATAACATACTCCATCCCGCTGTCTTCCACTTGAGAGAGGAAACGGAGAGCAGCTATTTCTGCATACGTCACACCACCGAGGAAGAACACCAGCGTTGTCCGATTCTCTCCCTGCTGGCCTGTTGGACATTGAGAGGAGATGCAAGTCACTAAAATGCAACATAAAAACTAAATATATTAACAATAGCAAAGGATATTTTATTGTTTTTCCTTAATTCCACTCTGACCTGGTAAATCCTTTAAATACTACCAAATATAAATGTTAATAAAACACAGCTCAATGTAAAGCAAATAGCAATCCACCCTCTGTTAAAGCACAATTTTTTAAAAAAATGTGAAAACCCTTATTTAGCCATATACTCCCCCCAGATTAGAGTCCTCTATTATCACCTTTAAAAACTAATGCAAGGCAGGCATGTAGCAACAAGTCAACTGTCTAATGCCCAAACACAGTTCTAATTAGCACATTTCAAACAGAGTGTATAATTAAATTCATTATTCACATCAGTGCAACACCTACTACTGCCAAAATGAAAAGATGGAGGAAAACAAAAGGAAAACACTGGCTGTCACTCACAAATCAAGCACAGAGTGGTTTTTCAGCCTTTCTATCAAGAAAGGCACACAAAAAAACGACAAGCTAACAGTGGCTATGTGGCACCATTGGCTACATGCCATAAATCTGCCGCTATTCAGCATCTGACATAAACAAATCCTGTGTCTTATCTACACAGAGCAGGAGGGCGGCTGTTTTTGTTCTGTTGTGAGCAGCAGGGCAAAGAGCAGTCCTAGCTTCTCTTAGTCCTTACGTTTCTTATGGAGCCCAGAGGGAAGCTGTTGTCTCTCCTCAAAGTGTGGGCCGGGAAGCATTTTCAGCACCTCTTCGATGCTGCGCCACCCAGGCCGTGCCAAGATCTGAGTCAGTCGGATGCTAAGAGGAGAATAGCCACTGTACACATATGAGATGTCGTTGGGATTCTGAAAGAACAGAAAAACTCAAACGTCAGCCCTTGCTTTTTCATGAGTTTAATCCATTAACTGCTTTCCTTTTTTTGTATATTGAGTACCTGCTCATTGGCGTCCTCCATCCACAGTTTAAGAGTTTTTCTGATAGTGGGGTAGTTATTCCGTGAGCCTGTCTGTGGCTTTAAAAGACCAGCCTTCTCTAGGTTGTTCAGCGTGAGTATGTGTTCATAACCATAGGTCTTCACACAGGGGGAGGAAAAAAGTTCAAAACCATCCAGTTTTAATTATGACACAGCAAATAATCATTTTTTGATTCAGCCAAGGGAGCAGAGAAAGCTTCTTTATGTCTTTACCTGGAGAATCTCCCTCTTGTAGTAGTCCATCACCTTGTGTTTGAGGCCATTGTTGCAGACTGACTGCATACACACCAGACGCAGGATCTTGATCAGGGGATCCTTCTGGGCAATGCAGTCTTCTATATACGTGTTCACCTGCATAGTCACATAATTTTAGGGTGTTTAGTGAACTTTTACTAAAAATCCTGTGAAACAGCACCTATAAAAACACACCTTGCAACTACTGGATTGGACTCCCTTTTGCCTACAGAACTGCCTTAATTCTTCATGGTATAGATTCAACAAGGTGCTGGAAACCCTGTTGGATCTATACCATGAAGAAACATTCCTCAAAGATTTTAGTTTGTATTTAAATGAAAGCATCACAAACTTGCTGCAGATTTGCTGGGTGTACATCAAGGATGCAAATAGGGTTGTGTAGGGAAACTCCCAGGAGATCAGCAGTTGTGAAATTCTCATACCAGCTCATCTGGCATCAACAACCATGTCATGTTCAAAGCCACTTACATCACCTTTCCTCCCATTCAGATGCTCAGTTTGTTTAGTATCTAAAGCTACGTTCACACTGCAGGTCTTAATGCTCAATTCCAATTTTTTGATCAAATCCAATTTTTTTTGTCTGCTTGTTCACACTACAAATAAAATGTGACAGCAAACGCTCTCTAGTGTGAACCCTCAAAGCGGCCCGCATCTGCAAAAGAAGACGTCACACACAACGCGCTCTGTTTAGACCCAGAGCAAACAGTATTGTTTGACTGATGGCCCTTAATATAAAGACTTGTTTTGGACTTTACCTCTCCCGATTTTTGCTTTAAGTTATTTTGTTATTTACATAATAATGTAAATAACCTAATAATTATCCTTATTGCTGTTTTAGAGAGAAGCGGTGCTTTAAAGGATAGTTGCAGATTTCTGTCAGAATCTGCAGATTATACAGTACAAATAACATGTTCACATTTCTCCAACGTTGTCTTCCCAGCAGTTTCACTAACATCTACATGTGATGGCCAGGAGGCGTTCGCAATGTCTTCTCCGGAGCTGATAATTGGCATCTGTCTTGTGTCAGTGACGTAAAAGACGGATTAAATGCGACCTGACCGTTCAAACAGCAGTCACTTTCTAAAACATCAGATATCTATCGGATTCAGTACCACATACAAAAGTGACCCAGATCAGATTTGAAAATATCGGATTTGTGCTGTTCACACTGTCATGCCATGATCAGATATGGGTCGCATAGGGTCAAAAAAATCGGATTTGATGCGCTTTCGCCTGCAGTGTGAACGTAGCCTAAATACATGGAGCTGCAGGCCGTGTGAGAATGGTTGAACAGGTTTATCTAATATATACGTGTTTTTGATAACGTGTAACAACTTATCTTAGGGAGGAAAATAGGTAACTAGATGAAAAATACCTTGTCTGTGTCAACACCAGTCATAAATTCCTGCTCCACTGTTAGATTATCAAAGAAGGCCTCGGATGCTGAAACATGAGATGATAGATGATTTACTACATAGTAATGGATATTGATGGAAATAGTTGTCTTTAAAGACTTTAAAGCCAAAAACTGAGCGAGATGTATGCTAAAAAACATAATGTGATTTGATGGGAAAGCATTGGATTATATACGCACTTGTGATGTCTTTGATCAGCTCGGCAATAGAAGTGTGGTTAGCCAGTGAGCTTCGGGCTGCCTGCATGTGAGGCAGCTGGGAGACAAACTGCTTAATTTCTCCCACCGTTTTGGCATTATGGCGCTCCTGAGAGACAAGAAGAGATGAAACAAGCATGATGCAGCATCCAAATAATCTTTAACCACTATCACACAAAACACCTCAGTAATAAAATTCAAGGCTTTGACATGCTACAGTTATAATGCACTGGACCATAGCACTCCTTTACTTGTTGTTTGGCCTAGCAAGAATATATGAAACTGATCTCATGTTGCTCCCCGAAAGTACCCGGATTGGAATGAAGGAAATTTCACACTATGATCACCACATGTAAGCAAAGAAGGAAAAAAAAGCAAAAATGTATCCAAAACAAGGCTAACCTCAAAGGCGGCAGATATTATTTTAGCTTTTTTGCTTAGTGCTGCTCCAACAGCATTGAAATTTTTGTCCCGGATTTCCGCATACAGCTCCTCTGCTGAGTTGAGCTGTAACTTCTTGGGCTCGGTCGGCAAATCTTTACTCCCTTCACCTTGCTTCTTCTGTGCAAACTTCTCAGGAGGCAGCTTGACATAACCTGGAGTGAAAGCATAGAATTTAAAAAAAAAAAAAATACTAAAAATAAAATAATCCCTGAAAAACTTATGGCTCAGGATAGTAACACTACTTGCATGAAAAGCTACCACACAGAAATGTCTGCAGGCAAGCATCCAAACAAGGATCACTAGACTGCAGACATCATCAAACTGCTGGAGAAACTAACCTCCACCTCAACACTACAATATGTCAAATATTGGAGAAAAAAAGAAGATTAATTTTAATGTTCAAGCGTAATCCTGCTTTGCTTTTTGATTAAAAATAAAGTTGCAAAAGAAACAGCGGGATATGCAGATGTCAGATACAATAAATATTACTGAGGCTCAACATGCAAACATAAGAATAAGAACTCTAATTGATTTATTCATACCATTACTGATTCCGTAAATCTCGTCAATGAGACCCTCATAGGTGAGCTGTGTGGCCAGAGGGGTGAGCAGGTCAACGTTACGATCAAGGAGAAGAAGGGTATCGAACACGGGCAGAATCTGATTCTGACTGCCAGCAAACTCCCTCTTCATCCTCAACATCATGTTGGCAACGAGCTGATAACAAGCAGAGCATTTGTTTATCAGAAAACTGTATTCACCTCGCTGCTGCAGAGCCTCTGCTTTCATATAAAACAGAAATTATTGCAGGTTACACCATGCTCACCCGTGCACATTCTCCTTTCCCATATATCTGTGGAATGGTGCCATACAGAGCCTGCAAGGTCATGAGGCCTTTGGCTGTGTGGTACAGACTTGTTTGGTCATTTTCCAGGTAGCACTCCTGAGTGAGACAAAGGGGAGTAATTTATGTGTATATGAGAGATTCCACCAAAGCAAGTATATGATATATATTTGTACTCTGCAACCTGAACACACCCTGAAAGCACTTTCATACTCCATGGACAGCAGGTCCCCATCGTAGGGAATCAGGTCCAGGATATACTCATCGATGTTGATGAAAGAGGCCAGCACGCCCTGCTCCTTCAGCCGCTGTTCGCACAGCATGCTCCGCCGAGGCACGAACAAAATATGAAAGTCTCGGGATGAATGGTGTCTATCCTCACTAAAGAGTAGCACAATTCATGTTGCAAAGTGTGGATAGCTATGCAAAGTGAGAGAAAGGACAAGAAAACAAAACCTTGTCTTTATCGCAGATTGAAGTTGAGACACATACACTCACCTAGTTATATTGTCTGCAATGATGTCCATAAGTTCCAGTCTGGGCCGGACAAAAAAGATGATATTTTTGACATCAGCAGGGGGAAGCCTCCCATTCTTGAGGGTGAACATCTTTTCCACTTCATGTTCCTGAACACACCATAATAAACGACAAGTTAAAACAACACCCTCAGCAACATTAGACACATGACATTAGTGTTAAAAGAAACTAGATAATAAGACGTGGGCCTTGTCTGTTGTCTGAGTTAATTTAGACATAAATTGTGCAAACACTTCCAAAAAATAATGTGCAAATAAATACAGAATTCCAAGATTTGAAAATCCCATGAACACATATTTCTTTTACACTAAAAAAATAACAGAAAACATAAAAGATTTAAAATAAGAAAATGGACCAAGAAAAATATTTGATTATTTTTAATTTGGCGACACCAGTACATCTCAAAAAAGGGCATGGGTATCTTTACCACAAACTGAGGAGACTAGCGGCTGGACTTTTAGGAGAGGAACACTGTACCTTTCTTGTCTGATATACAATTCTAGCTGCTCTACAGTTTCGAGTCTAATTTGTTGTATTTTTGATTTCACGATGTGCCAAATGCTTTCAGCTGGTGAAAAGTCTAGAATGTAGGCAGGATAGTTCAGTAGACTCTTCAACTATGAATGCATGCTGTTGTAATAGATGCTTAATGCGGTTTAGCAGTCTTTTGCTGAAATGTGCAAAAGACTGCTGTCCTATCCAGTCTGGATAGGAGCATATGTCAAACCTGTTTTCAGCATTGCTAGATATGTAGACTACCAATTCCACAGGCATGAATGCAGCTCCATCAAAGGTGCAGGTTTTTGAAAGTGCTGATAATAAGTCAGATGCTGCCTTTCCTGTTTAGTCCTGAGGACACAACATCCACGTTTTGCAAAAATAATTTAAAGTCTTAATTCATCTGACCACAGAATAGTTTTCCACTTTGCATTTTACATTAGCAGACAGTAGCATTTCTGGATCACGTTCAACTATGGCTGATATGTACAAATCATGTTACTGACCTGTTACCAAATGTTCCTCAAGCTATTTCATTTTAGTACCAATTACTTTTCCAGACTGTTCTTCGTGTACCAACGTTTTCAGTTGTCTTGTTGCCATCACATTCAAAAGGGCCTAATATTTTTTCATTAAACAATATAAAGCTCTGACGTTTTCTATTTATGTATTGGTTTAGGAGATTTGCAAATTATTGCATTCCCACAAAGCACAGCTTCTTAACATTTTTAGAAATGGGTTTGTAAACAGAAAGCACTTACCTTCAACAGAGAGTACTGAGCTATTAGTCCAAACGGTCCCGTCAGATATTCGTCCCAAACAATGGCCTAAAGTAAGAGAGTAAGAACAAACAAAGCTTTGAATCGTGAGTAAGCAGAACTGAAGATGTTCTGTCAGGCGATACTTGCTAACTTTTACTTAGCTATTAGCTCGAATATTTTATAATACGACGCACCTATACAGATATATGTCTGCGTTATCTGTACTGTTTTACACATTCAAAATAAAACTATGACTATAATGTTAACTGACAGTCTCATGGTAACGCTGAGGCTCAGAGACCACATTGAGTACCACTACCAGTGTTTGGACCACATTTCACAGGCGTATGCGGGTTTGTCACCTTGCTTCCTGCGCATTTGTCCAAAAACTCTCGAAGCTCTTTTCGTGCTGCTTCTCTCAATATGTTTAAATTCACTCTACCGTACGACAAGTGAGCAGCCATTTTTTCCTTACTAGCAGCACAACAAATCAGGTGACTTCTGCGGAGTCGCATCATGTGACCAAAGAAAGTCAAGCTAGTTCATGCCAGTGATTGTAGAAAACACCACAATTGTACCAAACACTTCCACTTCACTAATGCACCGACAAATCCAGGTCGACACTATCTGTTTGCAGTCTACGGTAATAATAAATAAAAGTTAAATGCAAAACCTAAAATAGCATAACGTGCAATACGGGTTTCACGCATGCGTAGATGTTGCTCAGTATGAAAAACAGCTTAAGAGAAATACTCATGTCTCATACCGAGTCTCAGCGTCGTTTAAATTATACTTATTAAGCGCAGACATCCACAGAATAACATCGGAAACGTTTTCTATGGGCTCAAAATGTGGTCATAAATATTTTGTACTTGTAAATCGGTTTTGTACTTGTAAAAAAGATTTGTATGTGTAAAAAAAATTTGTGCATGCGCAAAAAAGATTTGTATGTGTAAAAAAGATTTGTGCGTGCGTAAAAAAGATTTGTGCATGCGCAAAAAAGATTTGTATGTGTAAAAAAGATTTGTGCGTGCGTAAAAAAGATTTGTATGTGTAAAAAAGATTTGTGCGTGCGTAAAAAAGGTTTGTATGCGTAAAAAAGATTTGTGCGTGCGTAAAAAAGATTTGTGTGTGGACTTAGCCCAAAAAACCCCTGCAAGTTACAAATACGAATTTTGACCCTATTTTTCTTCCTTTAAACTGATTGGTCAATGTCATGTCAATCACAAATTAAACAATCCAATCAGAGAACAGATGGGTTTGGCTGTCGGAGGGGCACTTTTTTGAACTGCAGGTCCTTGAAGGGTAATCTCTATCCGGTTGTTCAGTGATGACGCGACGAATCCTACTTCCGGGCCTAAAGTAGTCTGCGTTTAATATGGCTTTTGTGTTGTTAACATGTTTAATGTTATGTATTTTCTTCTATTTGATCTCAAAAAGCTCCTAAAACAGTCAGTGATCCAGGTTGACCTCCCTCGGCTTTTATTACCGCTAATCATTTATTTAAGCTCAGTTTTTAAAACCTTAGGATGTAACTACAGCCCAGCCCATGCAGCAGTATATGAATGACTAACCTCGTATTGTGGATGGATTATCTCAGTTGTTCTCCTGGCTGAAGTTTGGTCCTTTTACAGCATCCTGCCATGCGATTACATTTGTTTCTGACCACTGAGAACACTCACGTTAACTTTTATCGAGTGGAAAAAAAGTTAGCTTGTTTATATTATGCTAACATAGCTGTGTCGCTAGCGGTCACGTAGCACATCATTATATACCAGCTAGCCCAACTTCAGTAACCCTACAAACGTCACTGCTGTTTAGTTTTCTGTCTTCATTTATGCTGGAAGTGATAACAGAGCTGTACGTTTGAATTTGTTTCCAAAACCCCGCAGTCAGGACATGCTATATTGTATTTAGATAGAAGCTAGCGAGCTAACTCCCTGCTAACTTCTAACTCCGTTAAATGTCATAAATTCCGTTTTCATGGATGCCTGGATGTTAAACTCAATTGTTACACCTGGTAGAGCAGAACGCTGATCATTTTATTAAAGATGAAAGACTTTAGACAGTTTTTCAACTCTCAGTAATGCCACAGTGATCGTTTGATATATGGAGCTGCAGCGGAGTTTAGACCCAGACACGGCTAGTGACGTCAGACTGAACAACCGGATAGGGCTTTGGAGTTGACGTCACGCCGCAATGCATTGTGGGAGCGCAGCGCCATTTTCGGGGTCTACGAATCAAAACAAACACACTGTGTTGGAACGACGACTACAAGAAAGATGCTTAAAAGCAGCTCAAAAGAGAATGAACTGTATAGAGACCGATTGCGTAAAGAGGCGAAGCAGCGGTACTTGCAGAAAATAGCGTGCATTGGAAATGTGGACCCGTATGACATATGGCCGTGGAGTAGAAACCCCGAACACCTAGCGCTATTGACGTAGCCTGACATATTTTCGTACCTTGTCTGTGGAGTCAGCGCCGTACAAGTCGTCATTCAAACAAAGGTAAGTCAGCTCGAGTACAGCGAGTGAAATGCGTTTGATTTCCCTCCAAACATTCAGATTAGTGCAGCATAAATTCATTCATGAGGGGAAATTACAGTGAGAACATGTGGAGGCTGTTAGGTGGATAACATAGTGAGTTCAGTGCATTGATGTGACATTGTCCTGAAGGATTTAGTTATTCTTTATGGTTAAAGAAATTGCACTAATTTATTCATATTTATTATAAATAATCCCAATTACACATCTTGCTTACATGTTTGTATCCTGTGTCACTAAAAATACATTTTATTTTAGTTTTATACATTGATTAATGACCTGCAGAATATCCTTATCATATTAAGTGATTCATAATTGTCACTTTATGCTTTCTCCATCTCTAAAGTGATGACATCCTTGCATTACATACTTTAGGTTCATTTTCTGCAGGCAGGTTTCTGAAAGAGAACAGGCAGATTTACACTATAACATGCAGCGTTCTATAGATGGACACATAAAGAAATGAAAAATGACATGTATGTGCTAACTTTCTAAACACTTTGTTACATTTATGATAAAGTAGATTAAACACATTTACGTCGGCCTTGGCTCATAGTTCTTGTCTTTAAATGAACTTTGTGTGTGTTTCAGGTCCTGCACTCTCAAAGACTGAATGAACCAGCATTGCAGCCATGGGTCACTGTGAGCATCACAGGGAAGGTTGAAGCCGCCCACTGCACCTGTATGGCCGGAGTCGCAGAGACCTGCAGCCATGTCGCTGCTCTTCTGTTTAATGTAGAAGCAGCAGTGTTGATCTGTGGCACAAGGACTGTTACAGATGAACCTGCATACTGGGTTTTGCTGGGTAATGTGACCAAGATACAGCCAGAGGTTGGCCACTTCTCCTCTTCAGCTGCCTAAAAAAAGGCTCTTGATCAAAACATAAACAGACCATCTGTAGTGACAGGTAAAAGGAGCCGTCCTCAAAAAAGAAAACTCCCACCTGCTACTGTGGAGGAGTTGTCACTGCTATAATGCCATAATGTTTTATCTAGGGGTCTAGATTTATGCCTGAAGTGCACTGCCGTGTAAATAATTTGCATTTACTGAATATGTACTGACTGAGTCACACTGTTCAAATGTTGAATAAAGAAACAAACTAATTTTTGCCTCTTTTTTATTTTATTAAAACCACTTTATAGAACATCACATCAGTAACAGTGTAGAATCCATGTCATTTATAGTTTACAAATGACAAAATGTTTACACAAAACCATGAGTGTTTACATGATATCACCCACTACTAACATTACTTTATTTACTGTATCTTTTGAAAAAATAACAGCACAAGACTTAAGAACATTTATCAGAAGCAGGTTTCATTCTTCCCTGGTTTTATTATCACACTGTTCACCAAACGCAGCAAACCTTCACCATCTTATCCAGGAGGGTCAACTCTTCACCCTCACATGGAAGAAGTAATCTGATTGGCATGGTGATGTTTGAAGCAGGTCCCTTGTGTAGCGCTGGGACCCAGTCATGATGTTTCATCCATTTCATCGGCTGGTTTGCTGCAATAATGCCAAATAATTAGCAACTCTATAAATAGAAGGTAGTTTTGCAAAATCACTCAGTAGGATGTTTGTTCTAATTTGCTATGACCTCAGAGTGCATTGAAAATGAAACTAATAGGCTATAAAGAGTGATATGAACATATTTAGAACTTACCGGAATGAAAATGTCTGGAGCACCAACAGATATTTGGAGATGGAAGAGAACTGCACGTCAGCTCGTCTCACAGCTGCTATCCAGGCTAGACGCCTTCGTTTGGTAACATCGATACACGAGCTGCCTCATGTTGCTTCCAGGTTGGGAAAGAATGAAAAGATAAACCCTTTTCAAGCTTATTCTCTTGCCGGTGTTGTGCAATCGAACATTGCAGCCGACCACACAGCAAATACGAACCATGGCTGTTGTGTGTGCCTTCGCTCCCTTTTCACTTGCGCTAGACCCCCAAAATGGCGGATTGGGCCAAAATCCTTTCCACGCCCACCCCCATGACATCACGCTCCAAAGCCCTATATAAATATCCGATAGCAGTTAGGTCCCCTTACTTTCAGCAGCTGTTGAAAGGATAAAGTTGTGGTATGTCAGTGGTTAGAAATACCATTATTACTTTAGGATTAGTTTAACACAACGTCAGGGCTGACCCGGGACCATTGTTGTGAGTCACAGCGCGCAGCATAAAAGTCCCTTCACATCGGATGCAGGATGTGCTGCTAATGCTAATTGCTAACTAAAAGCAAAGGATCCAGAATTTGTTGCTGGCTGCTGAGCTCTGTGGGTTTTTGCAGCAGCTCTACCTGTACTAGATGCACCTGCTCCTTGTTGTTTTTATCGCTGACTTTATGTGAACTACAAGAGTTTCTGTTTTTTTTGCTAGTTCTTCAAATGTTCAATAAAAACATGTATGCTAATTCATAACGAAGAAAGCTTTGTAATGAAGACTGTCATTTCCAAAACACTGCCCCCCCCCTGCCTCCGCAGCACTGTTGAAAAGGCTGCGGAAGTCCCTGTATTGAACACGTAGTCCTGTGACACAAAAATCACCAAACTTGGACGACCACAGATTGTTTTCCTTCGTGGTGATGAAGGAAAACACTGGGTTGGCATGTAAAAGGGCATTTATTCCCTTCAAAGACCTGCAGTTCAAAAAAAGCGCCCCTTCGACAGCCAAACCCATCTGTTCTCTGATTGGATTGTTACATTTGTGATTGACGACATTCACCAATCAGATGAAAGGAAGAAAAATGGGGTCAAAATTCGTAGTTGTAACTTGCAGGGTTTTTTTGGCTAAGTCCACACACAAATCTTTTTTATGCACACACAAATCTTTTTTACACACACAAATCTTTTTTACAAGTACAAAACCGATTTACAAGTACAAAATATTTATGACCGCATTTTGAGCCCATAGTTTTCCGTTCAAGTATGCTTTTTAATATGATGAAGGAAGCGCAGAGAAGGTACTATTTTAGTCCTCCTGTACTCTTTTTGCGAGTAGGTGTGACAACCAATGACAGTTTTCTACTGTCATTGGCAATAACACGTACTTTTATTTTTGGGGGGAGGAGGGGGTGACAGAGATTGAAACTTTACTGATAAATTCTCCAAGTAAAAAAATACCATCCATCCATCCATTCGCTTCCGCTTA